GACCCCAGTAATTGAAGGAATTTTATGACATCTATTATGAAAGTATGAAATGGCTCTTCATAAAAAACAGTATTGGATTTTTTCACTTTCTATTCCAGATAGGCTAAAAATCAATATTAATCCCTGTCCAGTGAATTCTGACACCCAAAGAAGTTTGTAGCACAAAGAGCTCACAACACTGAGGACTAATTGCTGTGGAATTAACAATTAATATTTAAATAATAATTACTATTTAATAATTTAATAATAACAATTAATATTTAAATAATAATTGCCTAGCCAGGGAGGTGGCTGTGGGTGACCAAGGTCCTGCTGAGGACCTGCAGCAGACACAACACCAGGTAGCAAGTCCCAGGAAGGAAGAAGGGTGAGTGTTTAGTGCATGTGGTTTGAACCCTCCTTGATCCGTACATTGGATCAGATGAGCTGCTCAAGAAATGGCCTCTGTATTTCTTAAGAAATATTGAAGAAGTCACCCTCTGGAACGAAAAAGCTGTAACCATTATTTTGTAGAGCTGGTTCTTCCCTTCTGGCAGAGCTCCAGGGTGCTCAGAGACCAAGTGAACAGGGCAGAACTAGGGGGTGCAGTGCACATCGGCACTGTAAATACGTGAGATCGAACATCACGCAGTTCTTAAGTATTTTGGGGCTGAGGCTGAAACCAGCAAGTCAGGCACAGAGTGTGTGATTCCCTGCCTGGGAGAACAGGACCAGAAACCACTGGATCTGCCTGGTCTTGCCTGAGGGCTGTCCTTTGCTCAGGATGGCGAGGCTGCCCCTTGCCTCCTCCAGCTCCTGAGGCTGCTGCAGAGCGTCAGCTAGTGCCGACGGCTGGGAAAGGCCTGGAAAACCAAAGTGCAACCCAAGGGAAAGGCAGGGACCTGCTGGAGGAACGTTCTGTGTAGAAACAAACTCCTTCTCGTGTCATGTGCAGGTCCTGTGCTGATTTTCATGCAGCTGTTTTTAAGGTAGCGCTGTGTCTCACCGAACGGTGCTTTGCTGCAGCCAGCTCAGTGCCTGTGAGGGATTGGAGTATTCACAAGGGAAATATTTAACTGCATTAACTCCGTGAAGTAATAAGGACAATTGTGCCAGATTCACCTTAACCCATAGTGAAGCAGGGCCAATTAAACCCCAAGATTTTTGCTGGCACCCCTGGCCCACAGCCAGCCCCAGCAGTGGTGGGGAGCTGCAGCATTCCTCAAGCAGTAGGGAACAGCAGCATTTCCACGGAGAGCGAGATAATTCCCTTCTCATTAGTTACTTTGACACAAGAAAGTTATCACAGCTCCCCAATCTGTCACCGGGCTGAGGGAACAGGAATTTGTAAAGCCAGATACGGTTTTTAAATTATGGCAACAGAAAAGAGTCGCTTTTCATGGAAGGCTGCAGCTCAAAGGGAGAGCAAACGCCCAAAGCTGGATTTCCTCAGGGAAAGCAGAGTAATTATTCTGTTGCTATCAAGGCGATACCAGGGTGTTTTCTTCCTATTTCTAGTGCCCTGATATAATAAAAGGAGTTAATAGCAGCAAGATGTAGGAGGTGCCCACTGGTGAATGCTCCAGTGCACTGAGCTGAACTGGGTCCTGCAAGAGAGGCAGCACAGGGTGTCTCAGCAGCGCAGAGAGCAGGGGCTGGGGTCCCACAGCCCAGAGACATTTCATGGCATCACCTTGTGTGTGGCACAAACCCAGGCTACACAGGACAGCCTGTGCCATCGATCCAGCTCTGCACTGTCTCCAGCCCTGCCCAGGGGGCACCTGTTGCCCACCCAGCACTTCCACGGCTGCAGGAAAATACCTCCTGGGGGGTGGGAAAGGACCTTTCTCCCTTCCCTGCTCTCCAGCTGGGCCTGGCAGCTGCCTGCAGGTTTCTGAGCAAGGCACAGAAGGCAGCAGCAACACGAAGGGGCCTCTGTGGTCTCTCCCAGCCCTTAAATCATGGCAGTAACAGCCCTGCTGATGGCCTCGGGCTTAAACGCTCAGAGGGGGCATTCTGCAGCAGCAGAGTGGAAGCAGGGCTTAATATTTATTTACTGAAAGGAATACAGGCTGTTTCCTACTTCTAGAAGTCCCTTCTCACGGGGAGAAGCTTTTCACCTAGATGGAGACAGAAGCTCAAGGAACTGAGCTCTCTGCTGAGATCACTGCACTCCTGGATGGAATCACGGCACACCACAGCCACTGCCTCCTCCTTGCTGGTGTGTCTCCAGCTGTTTCCCTGAGGCTGACAGGCTGCTCTGATGAGTCAGAGATGCCTCTTACCACAGACTTTATGGCTTGGGTTTGCTTCCAGCCAGGGAGTTCATCTGCTCTGCTCAGCTGGTGGCGAGCTGCAGGAGCACTTGGGTTGAGTTTATTTATTGCCGAGGGCTCCTGGGATGCCACACTTTCACTGATTTACACCCTTGGAGAGGGGTGACTCGTTTGCTGGGAGACATCCCATATGGCTGAATCACAGAGACCACGCTCAGGGTTACTTCACTGACCCTGGCAATTAGGAGGATATCGGAAAGCCTTTCCGAAAGGAATCTCAGCCTTGAGTGATCACATGTGAAAGTGCCCTCCTGGGGAAAAAAAAAAGCCCTCCAAGAAAAGAACATTATACTAAGAGCAACAGCCCTTAAGTCCAGGAGACGCTGTGAGATCATCTGGTCTGGCTTGTCCATCACAAGGATGTGCTGCATCCACACTGACTGCCTGTGTGGATGTCATACAGTGTGGCACCATCCTAGGCAGTGCATCACCCCCCTCTCCTGTTAGTACTCACAGTTAATCACCTCTGGTCTGCTTATGCAGAAAGGAAGAAAATAAAAGATTATGGTCTAACTTGCTTTCCTCCAGCTTCCATCTGGCAGCCTCCAGCGGTTTTTCTGTGAAGCCCAACTCTCAGCTCTCGGTCTGCAGCCCAGGGAGCGTATAGAGCTGGCTTTTCTCTGCATTTTCCTGGAAGTGCTGGTACAAAACCTGGACAGAGCATTTCACACCTGCAACCTCTTTCCCAGCTGCAGGCAGCTCACCTGCCCTGCTCGCAGCTCCTGCCATCCGTAGATTAGATCAACACAGCAACATTTACCAACTAAAGTTCATCTTTCCCAAGAATAGGACAAAGTTTGATTTACTCCCCTTTTTTTCTTTTTAATTGATCTGATCCCCATTAGACAGGCTGTAATCACCTATTTGAACAGGCCAATTATCCCACAGCAGCTCAGTGACACTAATTGCATCACAGTTCTGGGCTGTGGAAGTTGCCAAGCACTCCTGCTCATTAGCCAGCCTCCCTCCATTGATACAGCAGCAGGCTTTACATTTCTTCTCTTCCCATTCATCAGGTTGGCTTCAATTTCTTCCCAATTAAAGTTGGCTCCTCCAGTGCTACTTAAAGCCCCTCTACCTGGAGGGGCATCCAGCCAGATTAGCACCTCTCAGCACACCGTGGGCTCCTCACCACGTTTCGCAGCCCCTCATTCCACAGCCCCAGCCCTTTAAAATCGTATCACTTATACAGTACTTAATGTGTTACCTCCAATATTTTCTTTTTTGCTGTCTGCAGGCTGAACACCCGGAGTTTTCATTTCTTCAAGGTTTTTTTTGCCCTCAGATCCTTCTTTTGATCATGCTACCCCATGATACTGATCCTGAGGAATGTATGAACTGAGCCTCGAATGCCTTCTACTGAGAAAAGCAGCACAAGCCCCAAGCCTTTCCTTCTGCCCACTGTCCTCCCAGTGCATAGCAGCAGATACCTCCTCTTTAGAGGTTCCTTTTTACTTCCAGAATGCCTTTCTGCAGTTGGCTTCCTTAACTTCATTAGTGACCATCACCTGGCTTTAATTTCCTGCCCTGCCCTTTTTTGCTAAGCTTTTCTTTCTCCTGATGAGCCCCTGAGGAAGAGAAGAGCAAGGGCAGGGCCATCACTCTGAGGAGGGACTGGGTCTGATGATGGCCAAGAGAATCCTGCTGTGTGCATTTAGGGATGCTCCATGTCTGGGCAGGGAAGCCAGCATTAACTGTTTCCACTCCATGGGAAATGGCATTCACTCCCTGCTCTCACTTGGCATTCCGTGTCTTCTGTGTGTGACCAGGGCTAAATCCAGGAGAGAACTCAGCTGCTTTCCCACTAATTAATGCTACCACAGCCAGAAACTACCTGACTCCTTGATGCCTGATGTTAGAAGTGTGCCTTTAGAGTTAGGTTCTTACACTCCCTGTACGGGTACTGGACAAAGGGGTCTTTGAATGAGCACCCAAACAAGCCAAGTGCAGTCCTGGCTTTTCCCACAGGCTCAGCTCTCAGCAGTTCCTCCCTTCCCTGCCCACCCTCACCCTGTGCCATGTCCATCCCCTGTGTCAGACCCCATTTCCCCACACTCTTCTGGCGAGCAGTGTGACTGCAGCTGCCTTGGAAACTACTTTAACAGGTGTATCCCTTAGTACCTGGATTAATATACCTGCTTATCTCTTCTCCCAGAGATAATTTTTTACACTGTAAATTAAATAGGGGAGGAAAGTCAAAAGCCAAAGGAATAGATTTATTTTTCGACACTCTCAGTGGAAGGCCCTGCAAAGGTACATTTCAGAGCACATATATAATTGCACAGATGATTAGTGAAGCAGCTGGGGCAGTGGAACAGAAGTAAGGCTGCAGTAATTTGTTGAAGCAGTTTATCAGTATGGCTGAAAATCACGCCCCAGCTGTTCTACAAAAGCCTGCCCTGTAAACCCATACATTTTCTTACCAGTGCCTTGGCTCCTGGGCACTTTGTTTTGTTTTGTTTTGTTTCCCATTGTTCTAGAGTAGCAACAAATACACATTTTGCTGGGAGGGGCAGGGGGGTGGAAGCACAGGCGTGTGAAATTTCTTGTTCTTGCTGTGAACACAAGAGCCTGCAGGGAAATTGCACCTACTCGTGGTGCCACTGCCCCTCCCGGGAGCACACGGGTCAGGGTAAGGTCTGAGTCAGCTGGGGCTCTTGGGTCAAGGAGCAGAGAAAACCCGTCTTAGTGTTAAGAAATTTTTATTTGTCCTTTGGATCTGTAATGTAAGCACATAAAATTACAAGTGGAAGAAACATCATGCCACAAAATTGCATAGAATTTTTACAAAAATGTGAATTATGCCTCCGAAACAATCATAGATCGAGGAACCGAAAAAATATGTACATGTTAACTGGAGTATTTCATCCTAGTTTGAAAGCAAATCATCAAGGACTAATCAATCACGGACACTATTAATACAATGTACAAGAGCAACACTGATTTCAAAGAAAGGCAAGCAATGATGTCCCTTTAGTTATCTTTCAGTGAATGTTTAGCTAATACATGAGCATTAATTAACATAATTATGAACATGTTAAATCTAAAATGTCTGGCCTTCATAAGAATTTTTAAAATTCTGTTTATACTGCCAAAACCAAGCTATTTTCAGTAGTGTAAAGATATCTGAAGTGCACGACCTAGTTTAATATAGACAGCTCTATTCTATACAGCAGAAAAGTCCACAATACAGCATTTCCACACATTCAACACGGAACAAGGCAAATACATAAAAGGCACAAGACTTGCACATCATAAAGACCCTTTTTTTTTTTTTTGTTTTCATTATCTTACTCTAGTTCAAGTAATATCAATATTAAATGATATCTGTTTCACCGAAATAGTCTGACCGATGCAAGATGTACAGGATTACACACTTACCCTACACCTGCAGAAAGTGGCACTGTACAGATATATAAAAAATGTGAGTACAGGAAATGGTCAAATACAAACGTACTGTAAAATGACTACAGCCGAGAGGATGTTCCATCCACGGTTATTTTACTTTTAAATAGAAAGAAAAGCTTAATTGGCATTTGCCCGAGTTTCTTTGAAGGCTGTGGCGAGGTCCTGGCTCCGCTGAAGGCCACGGGAACGTAGCACAGGGGTTCAAGGGAGCCACGATTTTACCACAAGCCCATTCTGTGCAACTGTTCCTGTAATGCAACAGCCTTCAGTTTTAGTGTGAACACTGCTATCAGCTTCTTCTTTTAATAATTTAGGCAATGTGTCATTTGTACTTTATAAAATGCAGCATTACATCTTGACTCTCTACGTTTTCAACGAGTGATTAAGATGGATTTCAAAGTGCAAAACAAGGATTAACAGAGGATTCACCTTTCCTAGCTTTAAGATGAAAGTCAGATTTTTGAATTTCATGTGCACTGATTTCATCATCATAAACCAGAACAGTTTAATTCAAAATGTGATCTCCAAACAATGTGCAATTTTTCTTTCTTTCCGCTCTTAAGTTTAAAAAAAGAAACATCAAAATACTGCTCGTTTTCCAAGATTTGAACTTATATATATATACACCATTATTTAACTGAAAACTTAAGCTCGATTTGTATTTTATTGCTTAAATTTAAATAAAATAAGTTACTTTAAGTACTAAAATCCTGAGGGAATGGAAGTAAGGTAACTGAATTGTTACAATGTGTTAAAATGCCTCGCTGTGTAACTGATTGCTTTCTCCAACTGCTTTTCCGTACTAAGTAAGGCCCCGATCTTGCAAACTGTGAGTGTGAACGTTCCTCCCCAAACAACTCCTGAGCCCAGGGGTGCCCAGGAAAACACGAGTTTGCAGGATCAAGCGTCTTGAGGCAAATCTGTGTCTTCTGAGCTGGCCCCTCCTTTGCCCTAAGGCTGAGGGGAAGGACTGCGTTGGCTTGGGTACAAATAAGGATCTGTCTGAGATGTCTCTCAGTTCCTGTTCCTGTCAGTATGGGAGTCCAGAGCACAGCATTTCCTTACCTTTTCAAATATCCTGACTTTCACAATGTCTCTCTGTTGCCTGGTATAAATTTCTCAGAATGTGCGGTTTTACTTCTCTCACACATATCATACACTAACCTAGATTGTTCTTATTTTAACAACTCAGTTCAACGGATTAATACAAATTTTAAATAACAGTTATCAGGGGTTTTTTTATATTTTGCTTTTAAATTTCAGACCTTAGTAAAACTGAACCTCAGTCTTAAAAATAATGGAAGATTCTGTTAGATTTCAAATACTGTAGTCCTAAACATTTTTTATCACCCTATCAAATTCAGTAAGCTTAAAATAGGATACTTAAAATCAATACTTTCGAGTCTGCAAATATATATATATATATCAAATTTATATTCTAAAACTACTTTGATTTACAACACCTAAAACACCACGAAAAGAATTCCATGATCCGACGATTATCCCATTAGCAGTACAACCCAGACGTCAGCTTTCGGAAAGGTTCGCTCCACCCACGCATCCCTGAAACGTCCCATTTGGCAGAGAGAGAGAGAGACCACACCAGCTTCCAACAGGAACATGCTGTGTGTGCAGATGGACAGATGTGTGTGCACATATAGCTATATATATATATAAATATATATACACAAATGTATATGCACTCACACAGCGTAACAAACACAGACGGACACCGACAACCTCCACGCAGGGCTCTTCTCTCCATTTGCCTCCTCCTGTCCCCACAGTTCCAAGGGTTTTCAGCAGCAAATACGCGTCTCTCCGTGTGATAAACACAATAATATCGAGACAGCAAGCCACCAGTGCTTGCAAAAGCTAAAAAGGATTAAATGTTTCAGTGCAAATGGAAAACGGTGGTACAGCTTGTCAAGGTGCAGTTATAAAGAAGGAAACAAATATGATTAAGTACTGTTATAATATTCTCCGGGATCTCTATTAGTTTGGAGCACTTTGCACTGGCACTTCAAAAGGAAATCTGCACACATTTGTCTCTGTACAATACACTGGTCTTCATTAAACATTCTCAACAGTGAGCATGGCCAGAAAATTACCCATTGTAAATTGGCCCAGGGAAAAAAAAAAAAACAAGAAAAGAAAAATAAAGAGGAGAGGGTGGTTAACATATTAATTTTCCCATTACAACTGCACTAAGCTCCAGAATAATAATCAGATGATGAATGAGAACGAAGACCTTTGCAGGACACTCTATAAAACGTTCCTTTGGGGAGGTGTGTGCTGGAATGCAGATTCCTGGTGGCTCCCCCCGGGAGAGCGGAGCCGGCAGCCGGCAGTGCCGTGCCCTGGCACACCCACACTGTCCCTGGGGCAGTTAAAAAGTAGTATCAAACACTTTCTCGGGGTTATCCTCTTCCAATTCCTCCTCGCTTTGCGTGGGTTTGTGATTGGATTTTCCACTGTCAGGTGCCAGGGAAGAGGGGGCAGAACTGTGGTCTCCGTCTTCACTGATTTTCCCTTTCATGGCTTCCTGTACGAACTCCAGAATTTCCAAGGGCAGTCTTTTGAATTTGTCTTGATACTCCTGATCAAGTTCCACCTGCAACTACAACAAAAGAGACAAGCTGTCTTCAGGTGTATCCAGTGTGGCCAGTGCTACGGCATGGGGAGAGTACCACACCAGGAGGGAGGGGGGATATAATTAACAACACATTATTGCACTACTCAAGAATATATATATATATATTGTTTTTAATATTAGCACCAAGCATCCAAAGCTCCCATTAATTTCCATGCAGTCATTGCAAAGCTACAGAAAACGTGCGGCCGTTGGTGCGTTCGGGCTGGCTTTGGGTACCATCCCCGGCTACCCAAATCCTTCCAACTTTTATGTGGATTTAACTGTGCTGGGGTCCATACTCCCACTGGCTTTCACAAGACCCAGTTCGAGTGCAGTATGGATCACGGGTAAGCCTTGGAAAGAGCAAGGCCTTTATTAAGCTCCAGGTAGTTAATCACACATGAATCACACCACAAACGTTGCTCTGAGAACAATGTAACGGCTTTTGCCAGATTTCTTGGGTAGGAGAAGCCATTAGGAAAAAGTCAGCTGTCAAAGGGAGTCCAAGAGGGAGGGAAAACAAGTTTAAATTACATTTCTTAGGGCTGGATCGTGGAAAGTTACATTATCTGATTAATGCAGTATGTGTCTTGGACATTACTGGGGAAAAAGTGTCGGATCGTCAACAGGATGCAACAGGCATGCAGAAAGAAATCTGGCTATCGGTCTTCAGGAAGCAGTGGGTCCTTTCCCAGTATTTATTTGTACAGCCTTTGTTTTTAGTGCCCATATTAGGATCTGCACGACCCGTTATTTAAAAAACGTTAATGTGTATGAAGGTTTCCACTGAAGACAAAGCCAATTTTTTCATCATGGCCAATATGAGCACAGCAGGAAGCAAAAGGGGTGAGTTCCAAAGCCAAATCCGCTCCATCCATCCATCCATCCATCTACCCACCTTCTGGAAAAGAGGGAGTCAGGTTCTGCTAACTGTAGCTGCAGCAGTTTTGCAATAATTCCTTAGGTAATTGTGTTCTCAGCTATGTATTTTTCCCAGGATTTCCAGGATAAAGGTGCTATGAACTCTGATCCTTCAGCTCTGTGCTTGAGTCTTTCCTGTGTAGTTCCAGGTCTCCTTCACCCCACTGCAACAGCTCTCACCAGGCAATGCAGATTTTCACTTGAACATCAGGACCTATACTAGTCTTTACCATCCTTGACCTGTCCACAGCATGTGACTTTACCACTACCCCTCCCTCTGAGCCCTTCCAATCCCATTCCCCATGCTTCTGTCCTGGTTTTCATCCTGCATCTCTGACTTTATTTTTGTGAGGCCTCTTCTCCTTTCTCCTGATGTGCAAATCAATGTCCTTGGCTCACCCGGTCTAGTTCTACATTCCTTAATTAGACAAATCCTGCAGCTTTTCTTCCTCAGGACCTAAGATCTGTCTTCTCCTTTTGGTTTCCCTGCTAATGCTCTTTTCCTGCCTTGTTTCTGGCAATTTTCCTGATGTTCTGGCCTCGGTTGTGCACCTCAAGATAAAACCCAATTCTGAGGCACAAGTGGCTCCATTAAAATACACCCTGCCTCTAAAACACATCACTCTATCAACTGTTAGCCACTACCACAACATCCTTCTTCTTCTCCTGAACTCCCTTTGTTTTCTGGCTTCAGGCCTAGATACAAATTTTTGAAGGGATCCTCATTTTTGTCAGCATTTTGCTCTCACTGCCTCAAGCGCAGGCGTTCCCAGAGGGAACAGTGCCCTAGCGTGGCTGGCAGGGAAAACTCACTAATGATCATCCTCCCTGCCTGCCCAGCTCATCTCCTGCAGCCCAGGGAGCTCCATGCTGGTCAGAGTGACAGCAGCACAGCACTCTCATGGGTCACACTGCAATCCAAGGATTAAGCTCTAGGGAGAAAGCTCTACCTTTGTGGTGCAGCTGTGCTTTGGGTCACAGCTCATGGCTACAGACCCACCCTGCTCAACAAATGGGAGGGAGGGGTAGGGGGTTTTATTTGTGACAATTCCCCCGAGATGCTATCGCAGTCAGAGGGAGATTTATGGCACTGGTGGAACAAAGCATTCCTTGGATGACTCTGCAGCGCTGGCAGAGGCTCCAGCTCACTGTGCTCACTCCACCACACACCCCAAGAGCTCCTGCCTTCCCGTGCTCGGGAACCTCCAAAGCCTCTGAGCTGCCCCAACAGCACCCCACAGAGCCAGAGCTCCTGCAGGGAGAGGCAGCTCTGGGGACAGGAGTTTTTATAAATCTAGGAATTGGGGAAAGGCTCCAGAGCACTGGAAGACAGAGCTTTATAAAACAGCGTGAATTCCCTTACAGAGAACTGTCCAGGCCAGAGACGAGTCTGCTGCATTTCCCCACCTCGCTGTGACACGTGGAATTTGTGAGTTTGGGGTATCTCAGGAATAGCAGGAGGTGTGTAAAACTCTAAAAGTCAGGGAAAGTCTCCTGGCTCTCAGCTTCCTTCAGAACCTTGATCTGCTTAATTAGGTTTAAGAGCAATAGAAATCTTTGAAATCCCTCAGAAACTGAACGTTATCTGAACCCAGTGCAACCATAAGCATGTTGTTAGATAACAATTGTGTCTAATATTCACCTCCTAAAGCGCCTCCAGTGGATAATCCCCCCTAAGTCGAGCGTTTAATAGGAATGACATGAATCTGGAACTACCGTTCTCTCTTCAGTGTCTCTAGAGACGGTCTATATAGATATCTAATCAGAAAAGGGTGAATTTAGTTGAGAAGGAGCAGACAGTAGACAAGGAGGGTTGATTAACACTGCAGCAGTGGGTAAAAATTAGTTTTGTTTCTGATTTCAAAGACACTGTCACTTCCCCTTGCTCAGCTTCTGAGAAGCCCCTCAGATCCCATTCCTTCCCTGACCCCCAGGCTGCCACACAGGATTCCACCTGCAACAGGGAGTGAGCCTGGGCACAGCAATCTGTCCCACTGCCAGACCTGACCCTCAGGGAGCCGGGGGCTCCCAAACCCAGGGCAGTGCCACAGCGCCTTGACTGTGCTCCTCCTCAAACCATCAGCCCCTGGCACAACACTGGCAAACGGCTGAGGGGCAAGGTTAAAGAAACAAGCTGCCTGCTTAAAAACCAGCTGGCCCCCAAAAATCCAGCTGTTTTTCTTTTAAAAACCTCAGTGCCCTTCTGTGGCTTTCCAGGGACGTTACAGTTCATGGAGATGAGTGGAAAGCTGCCCTCCCAGCAGCAGTCACATACATCTGTTATTTGGCTTGCTGACAGGGAGACAAAGTGCCACGTTAGTGCTGAAGTAAAAACCTCTCTGCACAACCAGCACCACCAGGCTCCAGCCCAGCGTAGCCCAACTGCTCAGTTTGCTGTCCCCTTGGGCGGCTTCCCATCACAAGTCCACCTACCCCAATTTCTCTGTTCTCTAGCTGCTAAACAAGGTGACCTACACTTGCTTTTAGGATTCTGGAGTCAGACAAGGGGGGGAATTGAGACTGATGATTAGACGGGCAGATCGTTATCTGGACCACTGTCCTCATTAACACAAAACAACCTCCTTCCTTCTGTTATCTCCTCTCTGCCCTCCAACAGATCCTCTGTCCTCCCTTTAATAATAATGGCCAGTCTTCGCGAGCGAAGATCTGGGGAAGGTCTTTACACCTTCCAGCCTGCGCATTGGATTTTTTAGGTGAGACACAGTGTGCGCGGAACTGAGCCCACCCTTTAATCCTAAGGTTCATCTGCCGGGGCCAAGCGAGCTTGGACGGTGGCAGCGAGGTCCTCAGGACGTAGATGGGTTGCTTTCTAGGGCTAACGAGCTCCAACTCATTAATGTCACCTCCATGCGGTTTCAGGATCCCACGAGCAGTTGGCCACCGTATTTCTTGTTCAGGTAAATCTCACTCCCGCAGACTTTACTTACAGGCAACGAGTTAATACTATAAAATTCGGAGCTGTCATTAAGCGGGGTCCTTGGGGACAGGAGATGAATGTGTCAGTCACTGCTGACAGCTGTGGCCAGAAGCTCCAACTCTTGAGTGTGTGCTTCTGTCTACCTGCCCTTTATCTTTTTTACCTGACAGGGACACACCAGGAGCAGGGTTTTGCACTCCAGAGCTCCTGGCAGCCAATCCAGCTGCCCAGCTGATCCGCTCACAGTCCCTCCAAACTCAAAGGGCTCTCCCGCACCCTCCACCACAGCTGCTTTCCAAAAAGGGTCATCACTCAGGAAAAGGCCTCAAAACCCTTCCTTGGAATGTGGGAGGGGACAATCATTATGGTCCTTCAGCAAGGAAAAAGCACTCAGAAAAGGAAACAGATGGGATTATTAGCACTGTTTGTATTTATATTACAACAATAACCTGGCTGTTATAGTTAAAACTAACGACTGAACAGCAGAACACAGCACTAAAACCAGCAACTGTGATCCACAAGGAACTACAGAGGCAGAGGTTGTGGTTGTAGATGATCCTGACCAAGCCCCTGTAGACTTTTACATACTTGCACCATGATCTAATGAACTTCTGCTTCCACCAAGAACAAAAATAAAACGGTCACGTGGAAAACTCAGTGTGCTGCCAACACGAGCTACCAGGAGGGCCTGAAGACAAGAGGTGGATACACACACAGCTGGTGGATCCGCAGCCCGGCTTCCACCTCACCTCCTGCCCCTCCCTCCGGCAGCCCGAGGGAAAGGGAAGCCGTGGGGCAAAACATGTCCAACCCATCTCCCTTCCTGCGGCACCTTTGAAGCCCTCAGTGGGAGCTGCTGCTCCTTCCCACTGCACCCCCAAAGCGGCGTTTGGAACTTAGTCACCCAAGTGCTTCTCCAAACAGTTCTCCCCTCTCTTCCTTCCCCATGCACCACGTGCTTGGTGTGTACACCGTTCTCCTGATGGAAGATCCCATGCCAGAGGCAGTTTTCTGATGCTAACCCACCCCACGGGCTGGGATTCCTTCCAGCTCTCGTGTTTTTTTAAAAAAAATATTTTTTCAACTGAAAAACAACGTAAGGGTCACCACTTAAGAAGCATCTAAA